TTGGTGAATGGGCAACTATTAAAAGTTTGTTTACCTGCAGAAACAGCTGAAAAAAAAAGGTCATTCGGGTTCATGGAAGGGCCATTCAGGGTCGAGACAAGTTGACAGATTTAATGTATCGGCATGTTTTTCTGCACAGGATTTGTTGAGTTTTTGCAGACAGACATGTTTTACTTACATATCTGCGTTTCAGAATTGCATGTGGAAAAGTACTGGAGGAAACTCTTTGAAGCTGCACCGTTTGATTTAGTGCAGGATAGTTTGTTTGTGTTTGATTTTACACTTTGCAATGAGAACCTTTAACCCTAAAAGTTGCATCTGTGGTATATATTTTCTTCTTGGATAATTTCATGGTGTTTGGGTTGTTTTAAGAAGACTTTTTTTTTCCAAGTATTCATAATGTATCAGGTGAAATGATTATTCGGCTTCATATTTTTCTGACAAGAACACTATGTTTAAAATGTTCCAGAGCCTTGATAAATGCAGACATTTTGTTTGAACATGCTGGTTTGAATAATGACACTCATTAGGAGTGGAGGGATGAATTCCTATGTATTTTGCAGATGAAAGTGAGTAAAACATGCCATCTTTTTTTCTCTTTCTTTTTAGTTATTTTTATCAGTAGATAAAATGTTTTAAAAAATCAAGATTAACACATTTGTTAAAGCTGCACCAGCCTCAGCAGCAGGTTGTCTAATAGAACTTTCCTAAAATAAGAATTTAGTGAAGTTCCAGCAGGTGCTAAGGATTCAGATACTGGAGAACTTACAGAAGCAGATAAAAAAAGCAGAKGGCAGCATTCCTAGGTTTGACGGATGGCCCCCGCTCAGCCCATTTTTCATGCCCCTGGCCTCCTTGTTGAATGTGGATGAGGCTCGCTGGAGCCACAGGTGTTCTGCTCCTGCTGGGGCTCCCAGACTCCAGCTCACTGTGGAAGGAGGACAAGCGAGCTGGGAAGTGTGGGAAAGCACTTCAGGTGTTGGAAGCGAAGATTAAGTTGCCTTTGGTTAAGGTGTGCACGCATTTCTGCAGAGAGACATCAGTCACGAGAGGCGTTTAATGTGTCCCATCGTGGGAATTCTACCTGTTTTTATGGGATATGGAACTGCAGGATCCTCTGTTTCAACTTGACTCTTCGTCAAACTGATTCTGATGAAACGCTTGTTCCTTTTTAACAAATAAAATGTGATGTCAGACAATTTTTATGTAAAATATGCAGAAATATCCGCTAATTTCTGAATACACAAAGTATCAGTGTAGAAATGTTAATTTGTGATAGAAGAAAAATGCAGATTTACTAATCAGTTAAATGAATCTCATCTTTATGTTGATGTTCTATGATGAGAAGGTGTGTTTTTTTGTACAAAACACAATTAAATATAACTTGCAAAGGGATTTTGTGTAAAATTAGAGAGGAAATTTAAAATGGGAAATTAACATTTACACTGTTTTTAATATATTTACAAACTTTTAACAAGTTCAGCAGAACCGCTGAGACAAATGTATCTGAAATGTAAACCAATTAGACTAATTTAACACAAGCAGGATGAAAGCTTCACTGCTAATGAAAGAAACGGCCGATGTATGGTACTGTGCAAAAGTTTTAAACCACCCCAAAGTCCAGTTGTAAATGTATTCTTAGTTGAAMTGATGACAGAACTCTGGTTGATACTTTGAGTTCAAGAGCTTTTTTAAGCCCGAATGATTCATTGATCAGAAGTAAACTAAAAGGGGAAAAAAAGCTCTGAAATGTTGAAGTCCCAAAAAACTTAAAAAGAAAATTTAGCTGCTTGGAAGCAGAAAAAAAGAGGGATGACTCAAAACTTTTGCACAGGACTGTAATCCTGGTGTTTGTTTACAACTATATTCTAAGAGCATAAATCTGTTTTTTTTTAAATATAACATTTTCTATTTTAATAAACACTAAAAAGAGCTCAGTTTTTATGTTTATTGAACATCTGCTCATTTAGCTGAACTTTGAGAAACTTTTTATTTTTTCATGTGTTTTTCTTTCAGCTCTGTTGAACATGAGCAACATGCAATGTGAACTTCACAAGGTGTTTTTATTTAGAGGGGGGTTGCATAAAATATTCTTTGGGATTTGAAATAGAGAATAACAATTAGACATATATTCTGCCTTTAAACTTATGCAACCATTTTGCATTTTTGTTTGTCATTTTTTCCGTAAATCACACTACTGAAAAGGTTTTTTTTTATCAGTTTTCTTATGTCACGTTGTGATAGCTGTGTGCAAATAAAACGTTTTGCTTTATGTGTTTCTAAATTTATCCTGTTAAATCTAGATCGTAAAACTGTTTGCAAGAAAGTTAAATWAATGTTTGCATCAACCTTCGTCAGTGATGACTTCTGTTCACATCTTTGTTTTTAATTTTTAGCCACTTAAACCAAAGATTCCCTCACAGACGTTTCCACTTTACCTTTCTTTGTAACTGTGCAGACATTTATTTGCTAATTAGTGCTGCATTCATCAATAAAGATTTCTAACTTTAAACTGATGTCTTTGTTTTTATTTGTAGTTCTTCAGGCATTAGTTCTCAACCCCCCTGCCAAGTATGATGCTACATATTGTAATTTAACACACTTTAATCAATTCAAAATGTATTTTTTTAAATTTATGTTCTGACAATGCGACTCGTTTCCACTTTCACGTTGCCAAACTAAACGTACGACTGCAGATGCTTGAAAACAAAATGCCATCATGCTGACCTAGTTCTTAATAAAAYACAAGACAATTAGTGACTCATCAGAGAAAGGAGTGGTTCCGTTGCCCAACCTCTGTTTAAGCAGCAGCACAGTGCATGAAATCAGATTATGTGTGAATTTAAGATTAGCTAAAAGTTACAGGTGGAGTCRCATTAAAGAGTTGCTAAAACACAATTTAAAAACAAATCCAAATAATGYAATTTCTGTCACCAAGATTAAAAGTTTTCAAGGAGTCCCAGAGGGTTTTGGAGCAGTGTTTTTTCCAGTTAGATCAGGGGTCTGCAACCTGCGGCTCTGGGGCCACATGTGGCTCTTTGAAAATGTGGCCAAACATAACAGAATAANCAGTATTTTTTCTTGTTTACATGAAAATGGTATTTCTATTTGTCCTGATATGCATTATAATAAACAATATAATAATATTTTTTTTAGTTTTATAACGTCACCTCCACTGACCGTAAAGATTCCTGGAAATGCGTTGGAAAGGCCCATGGACCACCAGTTGATAATCACAGTTGTAGCTTGTTTTGCGGCTCTGGACACATTTTATTAGTGAGACAAGAAGCACAATTGGCTCTTTTGATTGTAAAGGTTGCAGACCCCTGAGTTAGAGATTACAATCCATAACGCTCATGTTGTCACAGGAATAAAATAAAATAAAAAAAAATGATGTCACCTAATTCCTATCTGAGTTGTTCCTGATCCTTCTCACCGACCTCACACCCACTCTTCTTGATGTTATTACTTAATTGCTTTTTTGTCTTTAAACTGGTCTCGTTTGTCTGGAAACAGGACATTCATGCTGGTTCCACCCAGACAAGACTCAGCAATGTTTTTGGCTTTAGCAGGACTGAGGGACTGTTAATCCACACGTTGCTTTGTAGTATTATTACAAGCGTTGGTTGCATACACTCCCAGCTTGCTGCTGATGGCAAAACCTTTGAAGCGGTCTGGCTTTTCAAGATCATTTTCTAGTCTAAGTACTCCATGTTTTTAAAGTTGTTATAACAGAACAGCAAGAAAAAAAATGAACCATTATGGAAAAGGTTTGTACAGGGATGACTCTGATAGCAACATAAATCTCAATAAATAAAACTAAACATAGGGTTGTCCAGTAAAATATAGAGTTTATGTTTGCCTTTAAATCTCATTTGGCTACCAAAGCAACAAAAAAAGCATCAAAAATTAAACTGAATGGCCTCAAAATGAAATTCTGCTTGCAGGCCAGCCCTGCCCTGCAGGCYAAAACTTTTTAWATACTGCATATTTTGCATAAAAA